GCAAATGGTTTTAATGTAAAGTTGCTCTCCGCTCTTATACGGTAGACAACTCTGCCTGTAGTATACAATTTTGAAAACTTAGACTCCTCTAGAGTGAATGGAATTGTGATCCTGTTGTGTCCCTCCTCAATCTCTGCAACTTCGCAAGTTACTGAGCATGAACATCCGGGCCGTGTCGGCAGCCGACAAGCTAGCGGCCGTCAGTTTATGTGTACTGAGACTTTTACCGAGCATTGTGTTTCTGCAGGAAGTGGCGGTGCGGCAGCTGCACATCGCCGGCTACGAGGAGGCCGTCAACGTCGGCGAGGCCGGCCGCGGCACGGCCATCCTGTGGCGGCGAGGCGTTGAGCTTCGGGACGTGCGGCGACTCCCCAGCGCCAGCGGCCGCGCCATGAGCGCGCGCCTCGGTGACGTCACGCTCGTGAACATCTACGCACCAGCTGGGACCCAAGGACGCAAGGACAGAGTAGAATTCTTTACTAGAGATCTCGCGTTGCTTCTTACAGACGTCGACAGCCAGCTCGTACTGGGTGGTGACTGGAACGCCATCCTGGAGCGGAGGGACACGACCGGGACCGCGCAGCCGTGCCCCGCGCTCCGCAACGTCGTCGAGGGCGCGCGGCTCGTGGACGCGTGGGGCAGCCTGCGGTCCGAGGAGGACGGCTTCACGTGCTTCTTGCCCTCGTGCGCCTCCCGGCTGGACAGGTGGTACGTGAGCGGCGCCGTGCGCGGGGCGCTTGGCTCCATCACGCTCCACTCTGTCCCCGTCTACGACCATCTGGCCGTCCTCCTCGAGCTGGAGCTGCATCTTCCACCGCAGTGCCGAGTTGGCAACCGACCGCGCGCCGCTGCACTACAGCCCGGACGGGCTGTGGCGTAACCTCCAGGCAGTCCACTCTGGAAGATCGACGCCGCGCTGCTCCGCCACCCAAGCTTCCTCCAGCGCTTCACCGCCTTCTAGGTTGGCTGGAGGGCGAAGCGCAAGGACTTTGGGGACGTAGTGGAGTGGTGGGAGCAGGGCAAAGTTAAATCTCGAAGTCTCTGCACCGCTCTTGGGCGGTAGCTCAGGGAGGAGGAGGAGAGTGTGCTTGCCAGGGATGGGAAACATTTAACTAAACTAGTTATTGTAACTGTAACTAGTTACAAATTTGCAGCAACTGAAACTGTAACTAGTTTCATTTTCAAACTAAATAACTGCAACTGTAACTAGTAACATTTTTTTCTGAAACTTTAACGAGTTTTAGTTAGTTATTTTTGCCCAGTAGAACTTTTAAAAAGTATGAGATTTTTTTCCTGTTAATCCACATGTGCTATCTGGAGTCTGCGGCTAGAGCTGCATTCAGAGGAATGAAGGAAAGGGGGCTGGAAAGACGGTATTGTTTCGGCTCATCTGGGGTCCGTGTAGGCCTGTGCAAGCAAGGCGGCGAGGGAGGAGGAAGACCCTTTTATTTACTGCTTGTCAGTTATACGTTTATCCGTTTCAACAGACCGATCTTCGAGATACTCTGTCATTTGTCACGGTTCACATTCGCCTGGCCTTGGCGACCTTAGGTTAGCCGCCCGCCCGCTTGTCCGGCAATAGTCGCAACACTCTGTGCCTGCTGCACAAAGAAAAGAGTGCCACCCCCTTTCCCTCACCCCTACCCGCCCGCGCCTGCCCACTGCTAGTCCCTTTTGAGATAAGTCAGACGGCGAGGAGAGGAAGGCAGAGTTTTGCGGACTTCAAATGCTGCGTAGCCGCCTATCTTGCAAACAATTTTCCAACCGGCAGAAGGGACACTTAAAAAATAATCAATGTAAAACTACGACCAATTTAACTCAAAAACTACCGGGATAACTGTAACTGTAACTAGTTACAATTTTTGGCGAAAAAAATGTAACTGTAACTGTAGTCTTTTAGAAAAAGGAACTGTAACGGAAACTAGTTACATGTTTGGCAAAACTAACTGCAACTGTAACTAGTTACATCTTAAGAGTAACTTTCCTACCCCTGGTGCTTGCCTTTGCCAGTGAATGCCTGGACGAGCTGGCTCTGCAGCGCGTGCCGGGAGCACCCGCCGACCCCCGCATCGCCACCATCAAAGATCAGATCGACGCCATCCTCGCCCGGCGTCTGCACGGCCTGGCCGCGCGCGCCAAGGTCGAGTCCTGCGAGGGGGAGGTGCCGGGCATGCACCAAGTCGCCGCCTGCATCAGAAGGAGGGTCGCAGCCAAGGTGGAGCGTCTCCAGGACGCCGACGGCAACGTTCTCACCGCGCAGCAGGACCTCGAAAGGTACGCCCACGAGCACTTTCAACAGGTCCTGGGAGCGCCGCCAAACACCCCGCCTCACCCAACCACCATCCTGGTCGAGGTGTTCGGTCCAACCATCACCGACGAGGACAACGAGGCCCTGCAGCGGCCGGTCTCCAGGGAGGAGCTTCTCGAGGCCCTCAAGCTGTCGCTGCGCGGCAGGAGCCCCGGGGAGGACGGCCTGACCGCGGAGTTTTACCTGGCAACGTGGAGCGTCCTCGGGGAGGACTTTCTTCACGTCGCGAACGCCATGCTCGGCCGCCGCAAGGTCGCCCCAAGCCACAAGGTAGGCCTGATGACTCTCATCCCGAAGGTGGCGTCCGTGGAGAGGATTGGTGACTTGCGCCCCGTCACGCTCCTCAACGTCGACGGAAAGGTATTCTCCAGGGTGGTTGCGCGGCGTCTCTGTGCATTCCAGCCAAAGCTGCTCCACCCGATGTAGGTGCGTGGCGGCGGCGGAGCACGCAACATGCACGGTGCTCTCGCGGACCTGCGCGACGCGGTCGCGGCCGTC